GTGAATGAATGATGAATGAACAAGCTGCTGTCTGAGGAAGAATTTTGAAAATCCTTTTTCAACAGTACTCCTCTAAGCTTTTCAACCAGGCGCGAGGGGCCTGCTTAAGGCCATACAAAGCTTTGTTCAACTTACAGACCATGGGCAGGCTTATTTGTGTCAATGAATCCAGCTGGTTGTGTCATGTAAACAACTTCAGTGAGATCACCGTTTAAGAAGGCGTTGTTGAGGTCAATTTGCTTTATTTTCCAGTTGAATTGGACAGCCAAAGCAAGGATGACTCTGAGGGTACATGGCTTGATGACTGGAGCAAAGGTTTCAAAGTAGTTGATTCCAAAGTTTCTGAAATCCCTTAGCCACCACCGTGCCTTGTACCTGGAAACACTACCATCCATGTTATACTTAATACAAATACCCATTTATTATCCACCAAAGTCATTTGATTTTCATATGGAACTAACGTCCAGGTGTTTATTGTTCTCCAGTGCATCAAATTCTTGTTTCATGGCTGAAAACCTTTCTGGAGAGCTTAAGGCTGCATGTACATTTGTAGGTTCATGAGCTATTGTTGCAGAAGATGTCTCAACAATTTCAGCACCAAGCATTTGTTTTGCGTTGAGATTCGTTTATCATAGGATGTTAGTTGGCTTTCAACTGCTGTAAGGTTGATGAATTTTGAGGTAAAGAATTTCAACCTCTAGATGAATTGTAGGGATTGATGAGGATATTTTTATTATCCATAACTTTGTACAATCCTAGAGGCTGATGCTCTGCCGAGGTTGGGATATTTTAGTGACATTTTCATCTGGAGTCTGACTTTGATATTTTGTTGAGGTAGAGGATGCTATCAAGTTGTCATCGTGATGCAGTTGCTGATTGGTAATCCATCAACGGTAATATGAGTGGAGCTGCAAGTTTTTGTGGTGAAAAATCAGTTGGTGTGCACATGGAAGTTGCCAATTACAGGTTACTATCTCGTTGGTTGCTGTGTGTGCAAGAATACACATTGCACATCCTTGGATGGAAAGGTTGTTTCATCAAAATCAACTGTCTGGAGATGTAGACCCGCCTGTTTCACTTAAACATAAGTAGCCCTTGTGAGAAGAGCTATAACCAATAAAGATGCTGGTTTTGTTTGATAATCCATTTTTGTGACTATTGTATGGTCTTAGGTAGGAAAACACCTACAGCCAAAAACTTTTAGCATGGTATAATCAGGGGACTGATGAACAACTTCTCAAACGGGGATAAGTGAAGAGTTGGAGTTGGTAACCGATTTATAGATAACTGCTGTATGGAAGGCATGCCACCGAATTGAATGGCAGTGAGGATTAGGCCAGTAAGGTCCGACCAATTTCTGTATGTGTTGGTGCTTCTTCAATTTTTCCATTTTGTTGGTGCTATGAGGCATGGATGCCTGAACTTAATGCCATGAGAGTTTAAATAAGGTAGAAAACACCGAAACTCACCCCCCCATCAGTCTGAATACATTTTAACTGACTTTCAAGCTTTCTTTCACAAACACATGAAATTGTTGAAGAGGGCAAAGGCTTCTGATTTTTGCTTTAGTGGATATACCCAGGAATAACGCGTGAAATCACAAGGAAGGCAATGTAATACTTATATCCTTCCTTTAAAACTACGGGTGATGGTCCCCATAGGTCAGTAAAATTAACTCCAAGGGCTTTGTGCTGACTGAGTTTGACAGAGAGAAAGGTTGCTGATGCAACTTCCCAAATTTGTAGTGAACAATTGTATAACACAGATTCGGAACAGAAAATCTTTTATTTAATGCATTATGTAATACTGCTTGAAGAGTTTTATAGTGAGGGTGGCCAAGTCTCATATGCCATACACTGAATCATGTTTATTGAATGCAGTAGCTACATCGAACATGTAAATTTTGGGGTCTTGAGTTGTCAACTGTAGAGGCAGCTTCTTACATTGGAGACTTTATTCTTGAAACAAACTTATCAGAAACAGGTGCTGCTGATCTTTTATGGAAGCTTTGAGACGCGTAGCAGATGAAGATAGCTGATACAACATTGCTAGTTTCCCTTCCAATAACTGTTTGCGTTTCCTTGTCCTTATAACACACAGGTTCAAGAAACTCAACACTAACTGCATTATCTTGAGTTAGTTTTGATATACTAATCAGATTCTTTGTATTTTGTGTACAACTAGCACATTTTACTAAAGTTTATGCGAAGATGAATGTACAAAGATGAAGATTACCAATATAGGTGATAGTGAGACACTGACCATTTCCAACCTGCAGTTTTTCTGGACCATTGTAAGTGAATGGTCTCTAGAGATTGAGTGTTGGAGCTGATGTGACTGGGTCTCCAATCAAGGTACCATTGCGGATCACTATTGAAATGGGCTAGCAAAGTAGGACATTGGACCTGTATGCTGAGGGATTTGTTGCTGATGTTGCTGTGGTTATGATGGATTAGGTTGTGGTGTAAGAGTTTCTTTGATTGACTGGTAGAGCCATGATCTTTTTACAAATAAAACACTTGATTTGCCTGTTCTAAAAATTCTGTTTGATTGGGTGAAAAGGACTGTTGTTGAATGGTTTGGTGATATGAGATTGTTGAGGTTGGTTTGGTTTTGAACCATTATAGGATAAGTCAAGTCTATGGTAGCATTGTATACCGTGTGGCCTGGTTTCCCACAAACTTGACAGAAATTTTTGGTTTGAGAAGTTTCTACCTCTCCCTCGTCCAGAATTTGGATTTTATCTTCTTGTGTCTTGCACCATTGGCATTGTGTGGTAAGAAGGTATTGTTTGAGTTGCTAAAGTCGAGGCTGGTGGTGGATCGTGGTGTAATGTAGACACATAATATTGTGGTGGGGAATGTATGATGCTGGTATTGGTGCAGGATGTTGAGTGTGTTTATACATCACTGAATTGGTTATTTCCACGAGCTGATCTATATGCTCCACTTACACCCACTTGAGGAGGGTGACTCCGATGTCTTCTATTACATGGAAGCTCTGTGACGAAAATGGAGACCAAATCATTCTTTTTCTGACAAAAGGCTACGTAGCATGCAACATCATTATCATCATTAAGCTCAATAATCATTCCATTGATTGACGTTTTAAGCTTTATAGCAACTTTGATGCTAGATCTCCGATAATCTATGTCCTTATATAATTCACACCAACGGGCACTTCATCCAATTTCTATTCACCTCCTATGTAACTCCATGTATTATCGACCATGACATTCCAATTACCATCGTAACCAACCAAGATGACCAACTTTTCCATTTTGATTGCTTCTACAATACATACAATAGTAGTATCAATGTTAATGTTTCTAAATTAGTATTAAAAAAACAAAAAAAAAAAAAAAATAGGTTGAAAACATCACTTACCGTGGTCCATTACACGAAGTGGATCATATTATGTGCTATGATCCACTTCACGTAATCCTCTTGGCTAAGTAGAAATTTCATGCTAAGTGACAAACAGGCATCCAAAATCGTGCTTTTGTGGCCAATATATTTTCATTGTTTACATAAAACTAAAATGCATGGAAAAAAACACAACAAATAATTAAAACAATTAAACTTCAAATCATCACTAATTTCAACCAAACTCCACAACACACATTACATAAATTACAACAATACTTGCTTAGATTAATGAACTTACTGTAATAAAGTTACAGATACTTTCGTTTTTAAACTTTCCGAAAAATTGAATGTTGTTTATAGTTTGAGAAGTGAAGAAGAAAGGTAAAGGTTTTACTTAAGTGTAAGGGAGTTTAAAGACTGGGGTATTTTGGCATTAAATTAAAAATGGTGGCTAATAAGTTTGTGCTTGAAAATTGGGTTAATTACTTAAGCCCCCTAAAATGTGGTTAATTTTCAATAAGCCTATTTTAATTCAGTCCTCCAAATATCGTTTATTAAGTAATTATCTCTTTTTTTACTTATTGACCTTGAAAGAGTCCTAGAATTGTGAAAGGAAAGTTGCAAAACTTTCCAGAGAAGAAGAAACGAAAAACTTACAGAAAAACAGAGCAAGGAAAACTTGCTGAAGAAATATTCTTTTATAAACTGGTTTTGAAAGAGAAAAGTTACAATTTTCTATACATGCAGTGCTTATTTATACAAGTTCTAAATCGTAACTAAATCAAGCTAAAACATAACGTAATCAAGTTGCAGAATTAGCAACGACTATAACAAGAATTCATCAAGTTGCAGAATCAGAATCAACACGGCTGTAACAGAATTCATCAAGTTACATAGTTTTTAGCAACGCTGTAACGTAATAACTGTGTGTAACAGAATCAGTTGCAAAGGCAACTTGCAGAAACAAGTTGCGGACTCAAGTTGATAGTATCTATTGTAACTGATCGATTTGCCAATGTACGTGGTGAATGAGTAGCTGTTACTTCTTATGCCATGTTGTACATGCACGTACCTTTGCACTGTAATATCCTCCCTCAATTAAGCAGCAGTAAGCTGAGAAAGTTTAAGAAACTAGCATTGTAATATCCTCCCTCAACTGAGCAGCAGTAAGCTGGGAAAGTTTGAAGAACAGACGACTTACAAGTTTAGTTGTGATCTGAGGTATTACTCAAAGGGGTTAACTCGTTGTAGAAGAAAGTAGGAGACAGACTATCCTCCCTGAGCTCATAGGACAGTTGATATTTATTGTGTGTTCTCCCGAAAACGAATGGAGAGATCAGCGTAGTTTATCACACAACATTTGAAAACGTGTAGGCAGAGGTTTTGTAAGAATGTCTGCAATCTGGAATTCACTGGCTATGTACTGACAGCTAATCCTTTGAGAGAACCATCTCGACGTAATGCACATCTTTCGATGTGCTTTTCCGAGCATGAAATACAGGATTTGCGGCCAAGGCGTTTGCACCTTTTATCACACCATAATACTGATTGATTGGGAATAGAAATCTTTAATTCTTGCAACAATTGCTGAACCCAAACAAGTTTAGAGTAGAGCTTGAGTATGATATGTATTCAGCTTCTGTAGAACTCAAAGCCACCACCTTTTGTTTGCAAGATACCCAGATCAAGATTGCCAAAGAGATAAATACAGAAGCCGCTGGTTGATTTTCTATCATTCAGATCATTGGCCACATCTGCATCAGCAAAGCCTTCTAATACTGGATTTTGGGAAAGCTGAAACTGAAGACCAACATCAAGAGTACCTTTGATATAACGGAGGACTCTTTTACAGGCAACCCAATGGGACATAGATGGACTTTGCAAAAACTGACTTAATCTATTCACAACAATGCCAAATCTGGTCATGTCATTGTCAAATATTGCAGACTGCCAATAACACTTCTGTACAGGACTGGTTGTCAAATAAAAACTATCATCTTTATCAATTTAGTGTTTGCAGCTAGGAGTTGAACTAGCATTAGCATCAAACATACTAACCTTTTTTAGTAGATCAGCAGCATACTTGGATTGATTTAGGTGAATACCCATTGGTTCGCACTACTCAAAACCAGAGTAACTTAATTCTCCAATCTTTCAAGGCAAAAGTGTTATGTAATTCAACGACTAGCTGCTGAATATAATCAAAGTCATTACCCGTAATTAAATGTCATCCACATATACTAACAAGTAACAAACCTTTGTGAATGAATGAATGAACAAGCTGCTGTCTGAGGAGAATTTTGAAAATCCTTTTTCAACAGTACTCCTCTAAGCTTTTCAAACCAGGCGCGAGGGGCCTGTTAAGGCCATACAAAGCTTTGTTCAACTTACAGACATGGGCGGCTTATTTGTTCAATGAATCCAGCTGGTTGTGTCTGTAAACAACTTCAGTGAATCACCGTTTAAGAAGGCGTTGTTGATGTCAATTTGCTTTATTTTCCAGTTGAATTGGACACCAAAGCAAGGATGACTCTGATGGTACATGGCTTGATGACTGGAGCAAAGGTTTCAAAGTAGTTGATTCCAAGAGTTTGCTGAAATCCCTTAGCCACCAACCGTGCCTTGTACCGGAACACTACCATCCATGTTATACTTAATACAAATACCCATTTATTATCCACCAGTCATTTGATTTTCATATGGAACTAACGTCCAGGTGTTATTGTTCTACAGTGCATCAAATTCTTGTTTCATGGCTGAAACCATTCTGGAGAGCTTAAGGCTGCATGTACATTTGTAGGTTCATGACTATTGTTGCGAAGATGTCTCAACAATTTCAGCAACCAAAGCTTTGTTTTGCGTTGAGATCTGGTTATCATAGGATGTTAGTTGGCTTTCAACTGCTGTAGGTTGATGAATTTTGAGGTAAAGGAATTTCAACCTCTAGATGATTGTAGGGATTATGAGGATTTTTATTATCCATACTTTGTACAATCCTAGAGGCTGATGCTCTGCCGAGGTTGGGATATTTTCAGTGACATTTTCATCTGGAGTCTGACTTGATATTTTGTTGAGGTAGAGGATGCTATCAAGTTGTCATCTAAGGATGCTTGCTGATTTTGGTAAGTCGGCATCAACGGTAGATATAGTGGAGCTGCAAGTTTTTGTGGTGAAAAATCAGTTGGTAGTGCACATGGAAGTTGCCATTACAGGTTACTATCTCAGTTGGTTGCTGTTTGATGCAGAAGTAACACATTGCACATCCTTGGATGGAAAGGTTGTTTCATCAAAATCAACATGTCTGGGAGATGTAGACCCGGCCTGTTTCACTTAAACATAAGTAGCCCTTGTGAGAAGACTATAACCAATAAATGCATGGTTTTGTTTGATAATCCATTTTGTGACTATTGTATGGTCTTAGGTAGGGAAAACACCTACAGCCAAAAACTTTTAGCATGGTATAATCAGGGGACTGATGAAACAACTTCTCAAACGGGGATAAGGACTGAAGAGTTGGAGTTGGTAACCGATTTATTAGATAAACTGCTGTATGGAAGGCATGCCACCAGAATTGAAATGGCAGTGAGATTAGCCAGTAAGGTCCGACCAATTTCTGTAAGGTGTTGGTGCTTTCTTTCAATTTTTCCATTTGTTGGTGCATATAGGGCATGGATGCCTGAACTTAATGCCATGAGAGTTTAATAAGGTAGAAAACACCAAACTCACCCCCCCAATCAGTCTGAATACATTTTAACTGACTTTCAACTGTCTTTTCACAAACACATGAAATTGTTTGAAGATGGCAAAGGCTTCTGATTTTTGCTTTAGTGGATATACCCAGGAATAACGGCTGAAATCATCAGGAAGGCAATGTAATACTTATATCCTTCCTTTGAAACTACGGGTGATGGTCCCCATAGGTCAGTAAAATTAACTCCAAGGGCTTTGTGCTGACTGATGTTGACAGAGAGAAAGGTTGCTGATGCAACTTCCCAAATTTGTAGGCTGAACAATTGTATAACACAGATTCTGGAACAGAAAATCTTTTATTTAATGCATTATGTAATACTCTTGAAGAGTTTTATAGTGAGGGTGGCCAAGTCTCATATGCCATACAACTGAATCATGTTTATTGATAGCAGTAGCTACATTCGAAACATGTAAATTTTGGGGTCTTGAGTTGTCAACTGTAGAGGCACTTCATATCAGTTGGAGACTTTATTCTTGAAACAAACTTATCAGAAACAGGTGCTGCTGATCTTTTATGAAGCTTTGAGACGCGTAGCAGATGAAGATAGCGGATACAATCCATTGCTAGTTTCCCTTCCAATAGAACTGTTTGCGTTTCCTTCCTTTATAACACACAGGTTAGCAAGAAACTCAACACTAACGCATATCTTGAGTTAGTTTTGATATACTAATCAGATTCTTGTAATTTGTGGTACAACTAGCACATTTTTACTAGAAGTTTATGCGAGATGATAATGTACAAAGATGAAGATTACCAATATAGGTGATAGTGAGACACTGACCATTCCAACCTGCAGTTTTTCTGGACCATGTAAGTGTAATGGTCTCTAGAGATTGAGTGTTGGAGCTGATGTGACTGGTGGCTCCAGAATCAGTACCATTGCGGATCAGCTATGAAATGGGCTGAGCAAAGTAGGACATTGGACCTGTATGCTGAGGGATTTGTTGCTGATGTTGCTGTGGTTATGATGGATTAGGTTGGGGTGTAAGAGTTTTCTTTGATTGACTGGTAGACCATGATCTTTTTACAAATAAACACTTGATTTGCCTGTTTAAAATTCTGTTTGATTGGGTGAAAAGGACTGTTGTTGAATGGTTTGGTGATATTGAGTGTTGAGGTTGGTTTTGGTTTTGAGGACCATTATAGGATAAGTCAAGTCTATGGTAGCATTGTATAGCCGTGTGGCCTGGTTTCCCACAAACTTGACAGAAATTTTTGGTTGAAGAAGTTTCTACCTCTCCCTCGCCAGAATTTGGATTTATTCTTCTGTGTCTTGCACCATTAAGGCATTGTGTGGTAAGAAGGTATTGTTTGAGTTGCTAAAGTCTGAGGCTGGTGGTGGATCGTGGTGTAATGTAGACACATAATATTGTGGTGAGGGAATGTATGATGCTGGTATTGGTGCAGGATGTTGAGTGGTGTTTATATATGGTGAGTGACCTGTATTGACAACATGATAAGAAGGCTGTTTCTGTGCTATTAAGGCTGAGTTCATGATATAGACTTGTGCACTATTGTATCTCTCCAGTCGAATCTCATGTTTATGGAGCAAGAATTGTCCCTCCAAAAAGTGATAATCATCTCCTCTAGCTGATAAATGTACTGATACAGCATCATACTCAAAGCCTAACCATCTAGAATATAGGCTATCAATTCTTCAGTGGTTAAATTACTCCACTTGCAGAAAGGGAATCAACATATCCTTCATTTAAGCACAAATTCATTGATACTTAAGGATTCTTTCTTTGTATTCTGTAATAAGTTCCTAAGATGCATTGTTCTAGCTTTTGATTCGGTAATGAAATGGTTCTCTAAGATTTTCCAAATTTCAAAAGAGCTTGAATATTGCAACATATCCAAACATTGTTTCAGAGATTGAGGAATATAACCAGCTCATAAGGAATTATCAATCCTTTTCCACAGAAAATAGTCAGAGTTAGTTTTTCTCACCTGGTCTCCTGTTTCGTCATCTTTGCTCAAGATAAAAGGCTCAGGACAGAGACGTTCACCATTGACAAAGCCTTCAAGCTGAAATGACGTCAGAGCTGGTAGTACTTGGGATCTCTAGTAGTTGTGGTTCTTTTCTCCTAATTTGATACAACATTAGGTAAGGAACTTGGAAAGCTGAAGTTCTTCAGCTGATCATCGTTATGGACTAATTTCTCCAATCTGCCATTTTAACCTTGCTTTTGGAGTTGGATAGTCTTCAAGATTATCCATGTAAACTGAATGGCTCTGATACCATGAAGAGTCCTAGAATCATGAAAGGAAAGTTGCAAAACTTTCCAGAGAGAAGAAACGAAAAACTGACAGAAAAACAGAGCAAGGAAAACTTGCTGAGAATATCTTTTATAAACTGGTTTTGAAAGAGAAAATTACAATTTTCTATACATGCAGTGCTTATTTTACAAGTTCTAAATCGTAACTAATCAAGCTAAAACATATGTAATCAAGTTGCAGAATTAGCAACGACTATAACAAGAATTCATCAAGTTGCAAATCAGAATCAACAACGGTGTAACAGAATTCATCAAGTTGCAGAATTAGTTTTAGCAACGGCTGTAACAGTAATCTGGTTGTAACAGAATCAAGTTGCAAAGGCAACTTGCAGAATCAAGTTGCAGACTCAAGTTGATAGTATCTGTTGTAACTATCGATTTGCCAATGTACGTGGTGAGATAGTAGCTGTTACTTCTTATGCCATGCTATACATGCACGTACCTTTGCACTGTATAGACCTTATTAGAAAATATTTGGATTTCTTAGATCAAGTTATGCTATGTATTGCGAAATTGCAATCCTGCAAACATGTTGGAAAATCTTCTGAAATCCGGGAAAATATAGATAAGAAAAGATCCATGATTAATCCAAGTTCATAAAACAAACAACAAACAATATGATATAAAAGTAGATTACCGCATAGAATATGGAATCAATGATCAATAACTTTAAATTAATAAATCTGGTTTAGTTAGTGGGCTAGCTGATTATCAATAATTAAGATCAGATTAGCCCACTAAAATACTTGAATAATATGAGACATATATAAGTATATATAATCCCACCAAACAAGTAGTTATAAACTTATAATGACTCCACATTAACTAAGTTTGTATTGGATGATTGAAGATTTTCCCACTTTGTTCCCAAATCTTTGCTTTTGATCGCACTTTGATTTGGGGCCAATATATATATATAATATATAATTATATAATATATATATATATTATATATATGCTAATTACCTGGAAAGCTGTTATTATTACTTATTAAGTGGAGATTTGTTTAGCACCCAACCTCTGCTTTACTTAATCTAATGCTTTCATTTAATTTACTTATCGTTGAATGATTAAGTTCAAACTTAAGTTATGCCAACTACTGTAACTTGTCATGGATTCTTCATTTTTTTTTCCCTACGTGTACAAACAAATGGCTTTCTAAATAATAAAAATCCATATGATCACTACTGTTTTTATCAAATTACAGGTAATCAGCACACTCATAATTAATAGAGTTAACAAACTAATGTGTTCATTTGTCAAATCTACACGCATTTTATTTACGTAACATATTATATATGTTGATCGCGTTTAATGGTAGAATTCTTGAAATATTTGTCTCTCTCGAGGATGCCAATATTATTTAAAATACATACTTCAATTCCAGAAAATAGTTATCAATAAATGTTATAAAAAAAAGTTCATTAAAATTTCTGCGTTAAAAATAGTAAAATTTGTCTTTGACAGTAATCGAGATTAATAGAAGACTGGATTTAAAAAATAATATAAAAGACTATCCCATTAAAACTTTTGTGTTTGACATTTATTTCAACAATTGAAATCCCTTAACCTACTGTGATCTTTAGTCTACTAATTAAATGTAAAGATAATAGATGAATATATATGTAGTGGTGGCGGCAAAAAAAAAAAAAAAGGGGCCATTGGTATCCTCAAATCAACACAGCCGGCGGGCTAACTTTAGAAACAGTTCACAGTTAATGATCCTCTTCTCAAATATTATAAAAACAGTTTGAGTGGTTTGATTAACGTTGGTTTAACGAATCAAGAATTAGAACTGTGGGATGAGTGGTTGATTGGTCAAATATATATAATACAATGAAGATTTGGTGTTTACGGGAGAAATTAAACTCCACATGGGTTTGCCTGTTTGTTCATTCACCAATCACCATCCCATTCACAGATTTTTGAGATCCAAATTCCACTCAACATTTTGTGGTGCCAACACATGTGCTCCCCAAACTGTCGGTTGGGTGCTTCATCGCACCAGTTTCTATATACTATTATGTTATTGGGAGCCACACGTCTTTGTTCTATATTAACATAATTGATATTCATCTAAAACATTATGATATGCAGATCAGTATTCATCACTGAATATTTCTAATTTATGTTCTCATGTGGGGTATAATGTATGCATGCACAAGATTTTGCCAACTTTTAAAGCTTTTCTTATTGGACAAGTGTGGATTTTATACTATCCTTTCTTAATGAACAGGTTTAATTAAATCTTAAGGTTAATTTTTATTATTATAATGTTGTTTACTTGTTCCTTATTTGGTTGGCACATGGTCATGGTTATATATTTTAATTCATTTGTTTAAATATTTGGTGCACATGACCACATTATTGAAATTAGGGTCTACCACAAGAAGCTGCCTATAAATGAGCCCTACTTGATCTTCTCCAACTCATTGTGTTACATTTTCAAATCTATCCCATTTTCTTCTGCTTTCTTCGGATCAGAAATATCAGTTTTCATCTTGCAAAAATGGCTTCCATGGTAGCTGAAACGTGGGCAATCATCAATGGTGAAGATGACTCCAATGGAGTCGAAATCTCAAAATTCAACAATGCCCTTCTGATGAGTTTACTAGAAGAGTCATATGGTGAAGAGTACAACGATGAACAAGTAAATAGAGTGATTCAATCTCTAGAAGCTGAGATTAATGCAAATATGTTAGAAGCTGGCGATGATTTAGCTATGGAGCCTGAATTTCTTGGCCTCAGCGACGACGAGGATGGTCAGAATTCCTCTGCTTCGATGGAGTTTGAATGGGCAGAAATGGAGCCGGTGCCATCCTCGCCAAGTTATGACATGAACTGGTTCGTGGACCATTGTGAAAATGAGTTGGATTTGATGGTTGAATATGGAGATGTGGGTGATTATAATTCTCAGATTTACAGTGTTGTTTCTTCGGAGGAAAATTGTTTCAGCTCTTTGTGGCATGAAAATTACAAACCAGTAGCATACAATTAAATTAGTTTATTAATTTTTTTTTAAGCGTAGATGTACATTATTTTTGAAGATGAATTGTAATTATAATCATGGAGGAACCATGATTAATTAATTTAAGCTGTTATTAGCAATAAATTCTTCTGATCCTCAGATTTTTTACAAAATTTCTTTCCTGTCTCCGATATCAAATGTATTATTACTTGCTGAATGTTAAATTTGATTAACTTGATTATCAGATGAACCAATACAACTAATCATAGAGTTTTAAACTTGTTGATGCGTGATTTTGATACCAACCAAACGTACATGTGAAATGCTGAGTTGGCCCAAAAGACACACGTGGATGAAAGAGTGAGAGTAAAAACAATGGAGATCAACGTTTAAAGTGGTTCGGATGCTAAGGAAGCAAACCCTACGTCCACTGATTTTATATTAATGATAGTGGTTAGGTCGCGTTCAGCGGATTGACTTACAAATGATTATACAAGAGAGAGAATGCTATTTTTTCTTTAGAGAGATTAGCTAATCACAAACACATGAAATGTTTGAAGATGGCAAAGGCTTCTGATTTTTGCTTTAGTGGATATACCAGGAATAACGGCTGAAATCATCAAGGAAGGCAATGTATATATTATCCTTCCTTTGAAACTACGGGTGATGGTCCCCATAGGTCAGTAAAATTAACTCCAAGGGCTTTGTGCTGACTGATGTTGACAGAGAGAAAGGTTGCTGATGCAACTTCCCAAATTTGTAGGCTGACAATGTATAACACAGATTCTGGAACAGAAAATCTTTTATTTATGCATTATGTAATTGCTTGAAGAGTTTTATAGTGAGGGTGGCCAAGTCTCATATGCCATACAACGAATCATGTTTATTGATAGCAGTAGCTACATTCGAAAAATGTAAATTTTGGGGTCTTGAGTTGTCAACTGTAGAGGCAGCTTCTATATCAGTTGGGAGATTATTCTTGAAACAAACTTATCAGAAACAGGTGCTGCTGATCTTTTATGGAAGCTTTGAGACAGCGTAGCAGATGAAGATAGCTGATACAATCCATTGCTAAGTTTCTTCCAATAGAAATGTTTGCGTTTCCTTGTCCTTATAAACACACAGGTTAGCACAGAAACTCAACACTAACTGCATTATCTTGAGTTAGTTTTGATATACTAATCAGATCTTTGTAATTTGTGGTACAACTAGCACATTTTTAACTAGAAGTTTATGCGAAGATGATATGTACAAAGATGAAGATTACAATATAGGTGATAGTGAGACAACTGACCTTTCACCCTGCAGTTTTTCTGGACCATTGTAAGGTGTAATGGTCTCTAGAGATTGAGTGTTGGAGCTGATGTGACTGGTGTCCGAATCAAAGTACCATTGGGATCAGCTATTGAAATGGGCTGAGCAAAGTAGGACATTGGACCTGTATGTGAGGGATTTGTTGCTGATGTTGCTGTGGTTATGATGGATTAGGTGTGGTGTAGGTTTCTTTTGATTGACTGGTAGAGCCATGATCTTTTTACAAATAAAACACTTGATTTGCCTGTTCTAAAAATTCTGTTGATTGGGTGAAAAGGACTGTGTGAATGGTTTGGTGATATTGAGATTGTTGAGGTTGGTTTTGGTTTTGAGGACCATTATAGGATAAGTCAAGTCTATGGTAGCATTGTATAGCCGTGTGGCGTGGTTTCCACAAACAAATTGACAGAAAATTTTTGGTTTGAAGAAGTTTCTACCTCTCCCTCGTCCAGAATTTGGATTTATTCTTCTTGTGTCTTGCACCCATTAAGGCATTGTGTGGTAAGAAGGTATGTTGAGTTGCTAAAGTCTGAGGCGGTGGTGGATCGTGGTGTAATGTAGACACATAATATTGTGGTGAGGGAATGTATGATGCTGGTATTGGTGCAGGATGTGTGAGTGGTGTTATATATGGTGAGTGACCGTATTGACAACATGATAAGGAGAAGGCTGTTTCTGTGCTATTAAGGGCTGAGTTATCATGATATAGACTATGTGCACTATTGTATCTCTCCAGTCGAATCTCATGTTTATGGAGCAAGAATTGTCTCCTAAAAAGTGATATCATCTCCTCTAGCTGATAAATGTACTGATACAGCATCATACTCAAAGCCTAATCCATCAGAATATAGGCTATCAATTCTTCAGTGGTTAAGATTACTCCACTTGCAGAAGGGAATCAACATATCCTTTTTTAAGCACAAATTCATTGATACTTAAGGATTCTTTCTTTGTATTCTGTAATAAGTTCCAAGATGCATTGTTCTAGCTTTTGATTCGGTAATGAAATGTCTCTAAGATTTTCCAAATTTCAAAAGAGCTTGAATATTTTGCAACAATCAAACATTGTTTCAGAGATTGAGGAATATAACCAGCTCATAAGGAATTGATCAATCCTTTTCCACAGAAATAGTCAGAGTTAGTTTTTTCACCTGGTCTCCTGTTTCGCTCTTTGCTCAAGATAAAAGGCTCAGGACAGAGACGTTCACCATTGACAAAGCCTTCAAGCTGAAATGACGTCAGAGCTGGGTAGTACTTGGGATCTCTAGTAGTTGTGGGTCTTTTCTCCTAATTTGATAGCAACATTAGGTAAGGAACTTGGAAAGCTGAAGTTTTCAGCTGATCATCGTTATGGAATATTTCTCCAAATCTGCCATTTAACCTTGCTTTTGGAGTTGGATAAGTCTTCAAGATTATCCATGTAAACTGAATGGCTCTGATACCATGAAAGAGCCATGATCATGAAAGGAAGTTGCAAAACTTCAGAGAAGAAGAAACGAAAAACTGACAGAAAAACAGAGCAAGGAAAACTTGCTGAAGAAATATTCTTTTATAAACTGTTTTGAAAGAGAAAAGTTACAATTTTCTATACATGCAGTGCTTATTTATACAAGTTCTAAATCGTAACTAAATCAAGCTAAAACATAATGTAATCAAGTTGCGAAGTAGCAACGACTATAACAAGAATTCTCAAGTTGCAAAATCAGAATCAACAACGGCTGTAACAGAATTCATCAAGTTGCAGAATTAGTTTTAGCAACGGTGTAACAGTAATCTGGTTGTAACAGAATCCAGTTGCAAAGGCAACTTGCAGAATCAAGTTGCAGACTCAAGTTGATAGTATCTGTTGTAACTGATCGATTTGCCAATGTACGTGGTGAGATGAGTAGCTGTTACTTCTTATGCCATGTATACATGCAAGTACCTTTGCACTGTAATAGACCTTATTAGAAAATATTTGGATTTCTTAGATCAAGTTATGCTATGTATTGCGAAATTGCAATCTGCAAACATGTTGGAAAAATCTTCTGAAAATCCGGGAAAATATAGAATAAGAAAAGATCCATGATTAATCCAAGTTCATAAAACAAACAAACAAACAATAGTGATATAAAAGTAGATTACCGCATAGAATATTGGATCAATGATCAATAACTTTATATTAAAAATAAATCTGGTTTAGTTAGTGGGGTAGCTGATATCAATAATTAAAGATCAGATTAGCCCACTAAAATACTTGATAATATTGAGACATATATAAAGTATAATAAATCCCACCAAACAAGTAGTATAAAATATAATGACTCCACATGTAACTAAGTTTGTATTGGATGATTGAAGATTTTCCCACTTTGTTCCCAAATCTTTGTTTTGACGCACTTTGATTGGGGCCAATATATATATATAATATATATATATTATATATAATTATATTATATATATATTGCTAATTCCTGGAAAGCTGTTATTATACTTATTAAGTGGAGATTTGTTTGAGCACCAACCTCTGCTTTACTTAATCTAATGCTTTCATTTAATTTACTTTAGTTGAATGATTAAGTTCAAACTTAAGTTATTGCCAACTACTGTAACTTGTCATGGATTTCTTCATTTGTTTTCTCACGTGTACAAACAATGGCTTTAAATAAATAAAATCCATATGATCAACTACTGTTTTTATCAAATTACAGGTAATCAGCACACTCATAATTAATAGAGTTAACAAACTAATTGTGTTCATTTGTCAATCTACAGCATTTTATTTACGTAACAATTATATATGTTGATCGCGTTTAAATGGTAGAAATTCTTGAAATATTGTCTCTTCGAGGATATGCCAATTTATTTAAATACATACTTCAATTCCGAAAAATAGTTATCAATAAATGTTATAAAAAAAAAGTTCATTTAAAATTTCTTGCGTTAAAAATAGTAAAATTTGTCTTTGACAGTAATCGAGATTAATAAGAAGAATGGATTTAAAAAATAAATATAAAAGACTATCCCACTTAAAAACTTTGTGTTGGACATTTATTTCAACAATTGAAACCCTTAACCTACTGTGATCTTTATGTCTACTAATTAAATGTAAAGATATATAGATGAATATATATGTAGTGGTGGCGGCAAAAAAAAAAAAAAAGGGGCCATTGGTGATCTCAATCAACACAGCCGGCGGGCTAACTTTAGAAACAGTTCACAGTAATGATCCTCTTCTCAAATATTATAAAAACATGAGTGGTTGGAAAAATCCTTTTTCAACAGTACTCCTCTAAGCTTTTCAAACCAGGCGCGAGGGGCCTGCTTAAGGCCATACAAAGCTTTGTTCAACTTACAGACATGGGTAGGCTTATTTGTGTTTATTAATCCAGCTGGTTGTGTCATGTAAACAACTTCAGTGAGATCACCGTTTAAGAAGGCGTTGTTGATGTCAATTTGCTTTATTTTCCAGTTGAATTGGACAGCCAAAGCAAGGATGACTCTGATGGTACATGGCTTGATGACTGGAGCAAAGGTTTCAAAGTAGTTGATTCCAAGAGTTTGCTGAAATCCCTTAGCCACCAACCGTGCCTTGTACCTGGAAACACTACCATCCATGTTATACTTAATACGAAATACCCATTTATTATCCACCAAAGTCATTTGATTTTCATATGGAACTAACGTCCAGGTGTTATTGTTCTACAGTGCATCAAATTCTTGTTTCATGGCTGAAA